ACACCCCGTGAGTAGTCGACCTTACCCCAAGTTCGGTGTCTAGTAAGTCACGCTCTCTGGCTGTCGCGTCGCTGTCTCTGGTTGCGCTCTCACAGTTAACTATTACAGCTTTCGCAGGCATCTTGACCACGAGGTTATGTTCATAAAGTTTCCTAAATATTCACTAGAGGGAACTCTGGCGCTAGTATATATGGAAGCTGCAACGCGCGGCATTTATGCGTGCAAGGAAATGAAGGATAGTACACGTATTTTTCTAATCTTCGTACTTCTGGCTCTGTGTGCGATCGTGTGGCTTGAAGCTATCTTCTTCCAAAACAAAAATCAGCAAATGGTAAAACATTTCACTTCATCACTTCATTATTTTTGGCTTACCGTTTCACATGAGGTCACGAAGTTCAAAAGGGTTTGTTCTTTCCTTCGAAACAAAACCGAAATACAGCTCTAAACGAAGCCACAAGTGTGATTCGCCACCCACAAGGATGAAGACAAGCAAATTCATGTACTACGTATCATTTCTATGGTAGCTGAATGATCGCAGCGCCAGAATCACCTCTAGTTAATTTTAAAAAACTAGATGGGCCTATTAATTATTATATATGGACGTCAGTAATCGGAGATGAGACGTATGAATTATCGTCAACGTGAATGCGTTCAGGTTAAGGCGTGGTATAGGTGTCAAACAACAATAGACATTGCGCAATTACTGACAGCAATGTAAAGTGAACAATAAACAAATTCGGTGAGGGCACGTTTTACGTTCGGGTTTTACCGATTCCTTTAACAGAGGGATCGACCATGTATTTTTGTTGTTCTTTACGTGTTTGAGCGCGGTGGCTGCGAAGTTATTTCTCGGCACGTTAGCGGGTAAACAGAACGTCATTCCGATTGAAGTGTAGAGATGTTTCGTGTTCGCTCGACTGCTTCAGTGCAGTCGGTGTGCAGCTGCTACTCTGGCGCACACGCGGCTGTAGATGACGTCGCTCCACCCGTGCTCGGCGAGTGATTGGTAGGCAATGGTGCATCGAGGGTTTTCGAAGACGGATCGTAAACATTACGATTAGCTTAAACACCATCGTGTTTTATGAAAAAACGGTGCGGAATATTATATCTCTTTTTTATACACGGCTTGTTTTTATCATCCCCAGAATAAACACTGTTGATGTACTTATACAGTCTGTATATCCCCTATGCCAGATGTATGTTTCAAATTGCACTTTTTAAAGTAGCTAATTTTCTTCCCTTATTTTTCAGGAAACCTTAGTATTAACAGATATTATCATGCGATATGTTCTACCCTTAACAAATACCTTCTTTGTCCGTAAACCACAAATATGCATTCAAGTAAGAAACTGTTTAGATCACAATGTTTTGAGATGACCACCTGTGCTTTGTGTCATGGCTATGGAACTCTTTCTCGGCCGGTAAAACGAACGTATTATACCTACTCGCTCTACGGTGCACATATACTATCTCCAGGGACTGTAGCCGTATATCTTGCACGTGGTCTCGTGCAACCACCCAATTTGTGTGGGCGACCACTTGCTTCCGTGTTCTTGAATGTGTTGCGCTTTTAGTAACAGATGGTGGAGCCAACAGCTCTGTACAATATCTTCCTGAAATTACGAAAGACTTGCCGCTGGCTGTCGAAAAAAGAACTTTTTGTGGTATGGTGCTCATCTTCTGACAGCCAATCATTTCAGGATGTGAATTTTGCTATCGAATCGCGAGATCTTTGAAACCAGTAAACTTTCGCGATACGAATTGCGGAAGTAACGCTTCTCTTGTGCAACCCACTTTCTCGATTTCAGCTCTCCGTCCTCATTACATGTCACAAAGCTCGTGAGCTAACTAGCTGAGACTCATTCCAACTCCCAACTATTGAGTTCTGTGAAAAAAAAAACTGGCGAGTCTTAGACTGATGAAGCCCGGGTGAGGTAGCTTAATTTGTTTGTGTAGTCAGCTGTATTTCTCGTTAGTTTGATCCTAAGTAAAACCGACTGACGTTAGCATGAGTCGATCAAACTGATCCATCCGCACAGACATATTTTCTGCATTAGTCGTGTTTATGTGGCTGGTCTTCAGCGAAGTACTGTCAAAAATTATGAATCGCAAACTGTGCCCGAGCAATCGTTCTGACACAGAGGCAACAGTGGTTACGGTAGCGAAAATCTTTATGTATCTTCCGCAGCACTTCCTTCCACAAGAAATAACTGTTAGGCCTAAATGTTTAACATGCGATGAAATAACGATGCCCCGTTAACAATTTCAAACTTCAAGACACTGCACGATTCACTACAGCTTTTACGCCTATAGGACGCTTAGTACATTCGAACAGAGTTTCAAGCAAAATTATTGTACGTTTGGTCACATATACGAATCTCATATGTCTAATCGTAACTTCGGCGGTTAGCTTCTGTAGTGAGCCTTGGGCTCAGAACGCCAGCTCGCTGCGTGTTAAGGCATTGACAATGTTGCACTTCTGTGGGAAACGTGCCCCATAGAGGTCAACAGTGTGCTGCAGAGCTAATCGAGTAGGCCTATAAGACAAACTTTCGCTGTCACAGAACGAGCGCTCAAAAAGAGCGCGCCGCCAACTCCTCGCGATGAAACGCCGGAGATACGCTGCGAGGTCACCGATAAAAAAAGGAAAACAAACATCCAGACTCCCCGGGCGCAACTCCCTCCCTCGGAAGCGTAGATTCGCCGACGAACCTCCTCACCCCACAAACGCGGCCGAGCAAGCACTCGAACTTTCTAGATGCCGACGAACCTTCTCACCCCACAACGGCGGCCGAGCAAGCACTCGAACTTTCTAAATGGAAATGGGCGTGGTTGAAGCCGGGTTGAGTCATCTGTCGCGGCCAGCATTCGAACTGTCTCGCCCTCTCACCAACCTTCGCTGCGTATTGCGCCGACGAAATGACGAGTACCTTCTGGAATCTCGCGCGGAGGGTATTTAATCGAGCAGCCGAGGTGAGAGATATGGAGAAGACGGAAGTTAGCGCCAGAGCGCGTAGGGATCCCGCCGTGTAGACGGCAAAGGTTTTGTCCGAAGAGACAAAGCAGGAGGAGAAGATGATTTCCACCTGAGGGGTGACGACTCGAGCTACAGGCAAGAGTGAGTGTTTACCGCTATCGAGCGAAGACGCGTGGCAACAGCTGCGTGTGTGAAGCCGACGTGTTTTCGGCGAAGAAGCTTGAAGCTTGGAGAGTGGCCAATTGAAGAAGCGAGGTTTCCTGGAAGAGAAACTTCGGCGAGGTTTCCTGGAAGAGAAACTTCGAGGGCAGCGGAACGACAACAACGCTGGACTTTGAGTGAGTGATTAACGGAAGAGTATCATCCAGACCTTTGTTCCAAGAACTTTGGACAAAATAGGTTTTCTATCTCTTTAGTCTCTAAGTGTCTTGGTTGTTCAATGCATGCGACTGCATTGTAGTGCGTATTGTTGTCAGTGTCCGTTGTTTCGAGTGTGGCTGATTGTAGTGTGTAGTACGTTGTTTGGTGGGAGACATATTCTATTCAACTATTGTGAAGTGTGCATACTTGCGTATTGTTTTTTTAATCTGCCCTTATTGAGAATATAATTCTGTTTTGTTTATCAACTCTCGGCTCTGACTTGTTCTTTGGGCCACAGCCGGTGTCCGCTGGCGTGCCAAAAAGGACCACTTCTAAATTGTCCACGCTTTCGTGGTGCGGTTCGGGGGGGCGATACTTAGGCCCTTGGACTTAGCCCGGCGATTGCCTCCCTAATTAACGGGACCTGTGTGACACTCGTTTATGAACATTCATCAATTGACACTCAATTCCAGTGTGTCATTGCATGGTGGAGTACCTCATGTGGTAAGCAAGGTGACCTGAGTATGCCCCTGAGTTACGAAATGTGTCTTAACCCCGTCTTCATAAATACTCCTTGACTTGAACTTGAAACCGTCTTCAATGCAGCACTTTTGAAACACGTCTGCGCGTTTGTGCTGCCTTGGCACCGCATAAAGACAGCACGTTCGAAACGTGTTTGTGCTGCATTGAAGTCAGTGGCAAGTCAAGTTCAAGTCAAGTTATGAATACGAGGCTTAAGCCCCGTACTCACACACGCTTCTTCACCTGACTTGCAACCACCTTCAATGCAGTGCTTTTGAAACGCGTCTGTGTTTTTTGTGCTGCCTTGCACTGCCTAAAGACAACGCGTTTGAAACGCGTTTGTGCTGTATTGAAGTCTGTGGCAAGTCAAGTTCAAGTCAAGCAACACTTCTGAATACGGGGGTTAGTGATCGCATTTGCTCAGGACCACTGGCCCTAATTTAGTGCATTTTTACTACAATGGACCGACTCATCAGCTCGTATTTCAGGTAATTCTACTTTGCCAACCATAAATCAGCAAACTTTCTCTGTAATCTATTTTCTCAGTCTTACCGGCCCATGAGTCTTGGTGTTATTGAGTCTGGCTGAGCACAATATTGGTTATATTGATCCTTAGTTAGCCCAGTTGATCAGAGCTCTGATCAGTCTCAGTCAGGCTCAGCCCGACACGAAAAATTTCATTGAGGTTGATAACGAGTGAGGCTGGTTATGTAAAGCTGCGGGGAAGCGACCGAAGTAAACAGACATTGTTGACTATATTGTCGTTGTACAACGCGAACAAAAAGCAATAGACGCTAACACAGCGACTCTTCGCAGCGGAACAGGAAGATCACCTTCTTTTCCTCGACCAGCCAGAGCTCCACTACCTGGTGTCCACCAAATCACCTTATTTTTGTAGGCCCGTGTGCTTAGATTTGGGTGCACGTTAATGAACTCCAGGTGGTTCAAATTTCCGGATCCCTCCATGTTATATTCAGTTTCGGTTTTTACTTCGTGTTCTTTCACCCCCAGGGGGTGCGTCTGTCCTTTATGTATATATTCGGTGTGTTGCGTACAATAAAGGTCTTTTTGTACGGTGGTGCTGCCGGTGCTTCTTACGTCTTTCTCAAACACCACATTGGCGACGAGGATAGGATAAACACGTCAAGCTACCTTCAGCATCGAGTGTCGTCCGGGTCCGCCCCGCCATGAGTTTCTCCGGCCTTGCTCCGCCGCCGCCGTTCCTCCCGACGCCCGGCCGGCCGTCACTTCCATGGGAGGAGTGGGATCAGACCTTAACGGTCTACCTTCTAGCGTCCGGAGCAGCTGAGTTCCCACCAGCGCGACGCAAGGCCATTCTTCTGCATTGTTTGGGGGCAGAAGGGCAGCGTGTTTACCGCACTTTACCTGCAGGGTCAAATGCCGCAGCACCAGCAAGCACCGCCGCACCGGAAGTACAAGAGAAGCCTCCCGCAGCCACTACTGACGAGTACGAGGCAGCACTCATCGCCTTACGGCAGCAGTTTTCCACGTCGTGTAACGTCGTCGTCGAGCGTCATCGTTTCCACCACCGCAGCCAACACGCAGGCGAGTCCGTTCATGACTTTGTTGCTGCTTTACGGGAGCTTGTTTCGCATTGTTCGTTCGCTTCACAAGATGATGCTCTGTGGGACCGATCTGTTGCCGGCGTTGTTTCCAGCTGCGTCCGGGAACGGTTGCTGCTCGAGGGTTCCTCCTTTTCGTTCGAGAGTGCAGTGCGGATCGCTCTTCAGTTTGAGCAAGCACCTGAAGAGCTGAAGGAATTTTCTGCTTTGGTCGAGCCTGTTTCTGTACGGCGTCGTTCCCAGTATTCGCATTCTTCAAGAAAATTCAATTACCAGCCAAAAGCGCATTTTCAGCAAAGCTCTCCAAGCGCTAGCGGTTCGCGTGCGCCGCAGGGGCCCCGCCCCACTCGGCGAGACAGAGATAGCCGGTCCGTTTCACCACACTGTTTCCGATGCGGCTCGCGGAATCACCGCGCATCAGCGTCACAGTGCCCTGCGCAGGGAAAGAAGTGTTTGTTTTGCGGTATCAAAGGCCACTTTCAGAAAGTATTCAACCGCAAGCGTCAAATGCAAGGCAGGATTCATGAAGTTGGCATCAATGACGATGCTTTGTCAGGGGGAAGTTCTGAGCAAGTTTTGACTGTACAGCATCCCGCTCGCAGCGCAATTTACATACAAGTACGCGTAGCGGATGTCAAGTTGTCATTCCTTGTTGATTCAGGTTCGTGCGTTTTAATTCTATCAGGGCGAAAATTTCACCAACATTTTCAAAGCGGTTTGCTCCTCCCAGCTCCGCATGTCACTTTGTTTCACTATTCGAAGCGCCCCATTTCCGTGCTAGGCTGTTTCCAGGCAGACGTTCAGTTTAAAGGGCGTTCTGCACCACTTCTTTTCTACATCGTTCGCCAAGGAACTTGTCTGATTGGCCTTGACGGCATTAAGGCCCTAAATCTTCGAATAGAGGGCTCCACTCTTGAGTGCCTGCACACGTCCGTTGCCCCGCCACCGCGTGTTAACGACCCGACATCTTGTCACATTCCGATGCAGTCAATAGAGCAACCCAGGCAAGCGAACCTTCCGCCAGCCTTGGAACACGACTTCGGTTCACTTTTCAGTCCCGAGTTGGGTCTTGCTAAGCGGTTCACGCATCGTGTCAAGATTCGGCAAGGCGTGCAGCCGGTATCTTCAAAGCTGCGCCGTCTTCCATATTCACTTCGGGAACCAGTGTAAAATGAACTTCACAGGTTGCTGAGCCTTGACATCATCGAACGCATCGATGCTTCTGAATGGGTTTCGCCCATTGTTGTCGTTGACAAGAAAGACGGCACCATCAGAATTTGTGCTGACATCCGGGAGCCTAACAAGGCTATTGTACCAGACAGGTTCCCGTTGCCTCATACACAGGAACTCCTTCATGTATTGGTAGGCGCGACACACTTCTCAAAACTTGACTTGGCTTTTGCCTACCATCAGGTTCTTTCACCCTGACAGCAGAGATCTGACAGCCTGCATCACGCATGAAGGACTTTTTTGGTTCAAGAGAGTTTGCTTTGGGTTAGCTTCCGCCTAAGCGGCATTTCAGAAGATGATGGTCACAATTCTGGATGGCTACCCTGGTGTGTTGTTCTACATTGATGACGTGATAGTCTTTGGGAAAAGTGCAGAAGAACATCTTTTGAACCTAACAAAGGTCTTGCAGAAAGTCAAGTACGCAGGCCTGAAATTGAACGACAAACGCCTCTTCGACGTTCCAGAACTTTCTTTCCTAGGGCATAAGGTCACTGCACAAGGTATCTCGCCGCTTCCAGAGAAAGTAGACTCGGTAGTTAACACTCCAGTGTCAACAGATGTTGCTGCCCTCCGTTCATTCCTGGGTCTTGTAGAATACTATTCCAAGTTTGTTTCCCGCTTGGCCCAGGTCTTCGAGCCTATGCGCGTTCTGCTCCGCAAGAATGAGCCATTCATCTGGTCAGCCGAAGCAGGCAGCAGTTTCCGGAGGGTCAAGAAAATGCTTTCTTCAAGTACAGTTCTCCACATGTTCGATCCATCACTTCCAGTCATCGTTTCGACCGACGCTTCTGACTGTGGGCTGGGAGCCGTTCTGCAGCAGCAAAATGGCCATGAGCTCCGCACAGTGGCTTCTGCGTCTCGTACCTTGTCACCAGCGGAAAGAAAGTACTCGGTCGGCGAACGATGCATTTGGGCGTGCGAACGATGGCACACTTACCTTTGGGGTCGCCATTTCAAGATTCGAACGGACCATCAGGCGTTGGTATCGTTGCTGTCTTCGCAAGGACATTGCAGAAGGCCACTTTGAATCGCACGCTGGAATGCGCGACTCCTATGCTACAATTTCACTGTCGAGTACCGCAAGGGGTCCACCAACACGGTGGCAGATGCTCTTTCTCGGCTGCCAGCTCCTGCTGCGCAGTCACAGCTGGCCAAGGATGAATAAATTGTGTCGTTGGTCGAGTCGGCTTGCGTGACAAAGGAGGAATTCAAGCAAGCCGTCTTCAACGATGGTTGTCTGCAAACGGTCAAGTCGTTCGTGCTCGGTTCTTGGCCACCACAAAAGTCCATACCAGAGGAGGCAAAACCTTTCTATTCTGTGCGCGAAGAACTTTCTGTTGTTGATGACCTTCTACTGAGCGCAGAATGCCTCGTTGTTCCGTCGTCACTCACGGCTCAGTTCATCGCCGTCGCCCACGAGGCACATCCGGGCATCACGCGCACAAAGGCGCGACTTCGTGAGCTATTCTGGTGGCCACGGATGGACAAGCAAGCTGAATCTGCCGTGAAATACTGTCACATCTGCCTGGAGGCAGATAAGTCTGCCAAAACATCGCCAGCGCCATTGCAGCCTATTGACTGGCCTGAAAGGCCATGGAAGAAACTGGGCCTAGACATTGTTGGCCCATTGGAACATGCACCTCACAATAGCCAATTTGCTATAACACTGGTCGATTACCATTCCAAATGGCCAGAGATATATTTCTGCAGCGAAGTTGTCACAAGCACCGTGAAAGACTTCTTAACCAGTGTTTTTGCCCGTCAAGGATACCCAGAAGAGATTGTTTGCGACAATGGGCCGCAGTTCACTTCACGTGAATTTGTAACCTTTCTTCAAAACCGAGCCATCAAGCTGTCTCATTCGTCGGTATATTACCCCCCGGCGAATGGGCAAGTCGAGAGGTTCAATCAAACTCTGAAGAACTTCATCCAGGTTTCACTCCTCGAAAGGAGACCTATCCGACAAGCAGTTCTGGACTACCTCTCTATTTACCGCTGTACTCCACAGGCTACCACTGGAGTTGCCCCAGAAGTTCTGCTGCATGGGCGAATGCCCCGAACCAGATTGGATGTTGTAGGGTTTTCGGCACCAGCGTTCGCAAAAGACCCAGCAAAGGAACTGGCGTGATTGCACCAAAGGTTCCGCCTTCAACAGCAAAGCAGTAAGGAGTACACGGACCACAGAAGAGCTGCTAAGGAGCCAAAGATAGCTGTGGGTGATTTCGTTCGTATCAAAAAGCCGTCCGTTTGCTTCAAGGGGGATCGCTCCTTTTCCTCACCAACTGAGGTGTTGGGGAAGAGGGGACCTGCCTCTTTCTGACTTGCAGACGGCCACACACTGAACGCCTCCAAGCTTTCCCGGGTTCCTGAGAGGGGCACGAGTCCACCATACCAACGTTTGGAGCTACCTGCGCCACAGCTTCTGGTTCAAGTGCCGCAGCCTGCCCTGCCACCGCCGCTTTCTCCCTGGTCGCAGCCGCCGCCTCCTGGCGTACTGCAGTCTGCCGTACCGCAGTCGCCTGCTCCTGATCCGCAGCTGCCTGTACCGGAGCCCGCCATGCTGTGGTCGCCTTCTCCTAAGCCGCAATCGCGGTCTCCTGGCGTACTACAGAGCTCTACAAGCTCATTACCATCTCCGGCTGTGCAGCATCCCCATCTGCCGTCATGAAAGCGCCGGCCACCGGTCTGGCTGAAGGACTATCAGACTCACTAGTTGTCTGTGTGTATAGCACAGTGTGTATGTAGTGTAAATATGTATGTGTATACAGCGTGTATAATGCACAGTGCATGCATAGGGGTTTCTTACTAACACTTACTAAACACTAATCACTATATATAAGGGAGGGAGTATGTTATATTCAGTTTCTGTTTTTACTTTGTGTTCTTTCACCCCCAGGAGGCGCGTCTGTCCTTTATGTATATATTCGATGTGTTGCGTACAATAAAGGTCTTTTTGTACGGTGGTGCTGCCGGTGCTTCTTACGTCTTTCGCAAACACCACACTTCACTACAGCGTCTCTCATAATCATATGGGGGTTTGAAGCGTTAAACCCCACAAATCAATAAATCAAACAAATCCTCTTATCGTCGTTTTTGTCCACTACTACACACGGGTCATTTGCTCCCCCTCTTAAAAACCATCGCCCCGATGCTAGATCAGTAGTGCAGTTTTTTAAAGATGATAGTCTTTCTTGGGGACCTTCCACGCAAAATTTTTAGTCTGTCTGTCTGTATGTTATTCTATATGTTCGTCCTTAACCGTACTCTAAATGGCACCAAAGCGATCAAACGGTACTCCAAACTAGGGAGCCTTCATGTGCGCATGTCTCGGTTTTTTAGGGTGGTGTCAGCCTTTGACCCACCACTTGCCGCCGCCCGCTAAAACACCATGTTGCCAGTCCCGGTTTCCAAGGCAACAGGCGCCATATTGTTTTTTTCGGCCAGGCGTTCTTGCTCCGCCGCACTGCACCAGCTGCATGTTGGCGCAGGTGTGCAAGTGCGGTATGAGCTACGTTTTATTACCCCGTAGACGTAGCTTCAGCAACGACACCATCCTCGCGCTATGCGCACCTACAACAACTTTGAAGTGTAAATGCCAGGGTGCTGCATTCCACAATGCAAAACCATCTGGAGACTTTCCCGCTTCCCGACTTGCTCTAGCCAACGGAAACGCTGGATTACACAAGTGAAGTGAAACTGCTTGGAGGCGACTACTTCTCGCCGTGTTTGTCAGGTGAGTACCCGTTGCATTGCGAGGGGGTCGAATATATCACCACACATTTCGTGAAATGGCTGACTTAGGCATGCAACAAAAAGCAGTTTGAGCAAAGTAAGCACGACAACGTGCGCAGTATAATAATGAATCAGGCTTCGTTCAGCTACGCCAGACTATGCGAGCGGAAGATGGTTGAGTATGCTTGTTTATCCTCGTAGTCGAAGCGCAGTTCCTCAATTGAGTGATATGACTAGTCGAATGTGTGGTCCTGCATGCATTCACTATCAGCGCTTTGTCGGTTTCCGAAGCCGTCGCTGCATTCTTCGTGGAAAACGCCACGCCCGTAAACCACCTACAGACGCTCCCATTTGGGTCTTCTTTTGCTGGCAGATGTTCACATTCCTGCAATGTTACCTTGGTCGCTGAGTAAGGGCATTTGGAGAGGCAGACAGACGAGCCAATGAACGCGTTCCCTGTAAACTGTCTGGCACAGTTGCAACACAACTACCTTTTTGTGTGGCTTGCCATGGGGTATTCATTCTTCACTTTAATGACACACACAACCACACCAAAAATCGCTCAATTTTCGAAAACAGGATTTCTCTTTAATGATATAGAAGGCAACAGATTTACTGTTCGTGTCCGTCCATCCTTCTGTTGGTCTGCCGGTCCTGAACGGAGCAGAATATGTACACAAAGCTAGTCAGTTGTCAGCCAGTTACTCAAATATGCCCTATGTACTGCATCGTTATTTGTGTCGCCCTTTGTTTCATAACCAGGCACACAGATGATCTGATATCGTAAACTCAGCTTTTATTTAGTGCTTGTAGAGAAGATGTGTATAGACTCCGTATATTTGGTCGGAGCCGTGTATGATTTTGCGTCTTATTGGTTTACTGTAGGCCCACTATGAGGACACAAGCTTCCAGCAAAGCAGGCAAGATGGTTTGAAGACATTAAGGCCAGATGCCGTTTGGAGCTCTTTGCAATAAAATGTGACCAGGAAAAACTTGGTTGGTCTATCGTTGCTTCCTTTTGCTTTTCTTCTCGGCCTAATATACAGGCTTGGCTGTGGAGGGGGAGGGTTGGTGTAATATGACTAAATGCCCATTTTGGGGCAATGCTTACAGCTTGTAAGTCTTTAAGCATTCATTGTACAGATTCGTTCGCAGGAACTAAACTTGCTGCAGGAAATTATATTACAGACAAACGCAATGTTTAGGGATGAGAAACAGGCTAGCTAAGTTATTCGGTTTACACAGAACATCGTGAGCGACCCGTTTGCTTGATCTGCCTTCCATCTCGTTAAGGGTTCCATCATATAAACAGCACGAATTCGAGGCTTCCACTAAGATGCCTTTGAGGTATCTGAAGTGCTAAGGTGAATTTACTTCAGCAAAACCGCGCAGACATTGAAGTCCGTTCATAGTGACATCGAGGTTCTCCCCCTCACAAACATATGCTCCCTAAATTATCCTCACTCAACCATTGCAGTGGGTCTACCAAGTGTGAGAAACGACCTGTCTGTTTTAACAGTATTTTACACAAACTCGAGTCACGAACATGTCTTTCCTGTTCTACCGAACCACGGCTAACTTCACAAAAAACTCTTCAGCGTTCAGCACTTGCTATACAAAAAAAACCCTCTTCTCGTTGAAACCCACGCTGCCGCCAATGTAAATGAACGACCACTCAGAACCAACATGGCGACCCGTCAAATATGGGGGCCATTTTAGCCAATTGTAAGCCACCATGATCGGAGTTGTCACCACCTTAAAACATGGAGACGCGTGCACATGTAGCCTCCCTAATCACAGTGCACGTACCCCGCTATGCACCTGCAGTGAGCACTTGCGACGGCACAATCGTCCCTCGCCACACACCAAGACTCATGTGTCTTAGAAAACGTTGGGCTTGCCCCCACAGATGCCACGATCAGGACAACACCTTCGCCGTGTTCGCCAGCCTTGAAAGACGAGACGTGCTTCACCTGGTTCACAAACGAATAATACGCGTCTCTAAGCTTGAAGTTATTATGTTGTTCTTTAGTGTAGAAGCAAACACCCTCAACCATATAAAGAAAAATATCCGCTGTAGACACTGGTGAAAGGTTCTTACAGCCCGACGCAAAGATAAAACGCACCACATCAGCGTCTAGTAAATCGGGCAGCTCTTTGCTCTCGAACATGGGTTTCTGCCTATACCGCTGACGAGCTTCGACGTCGAGCTGCTTGAAGTACTCACTGGACATTGACAACCGCTTCCAGTGAGCGAAAAAAGAAAACGGCACGTTAGCATAAGAATCATGACGACCATGCATGATCACCCTATCTTGGTGAAACTCTGGACATTTTGAAGCTCCGGCGACACACCTTTCGATTGAGCCAAGAGTGCGACAAAGTCACATACAACTTTCAGCGCGCTGTGTTTTGTTGGTTATGATGAAACCCGGCACCGCGTCAAGGATGGTTGACAAAGTTGGTCAATGTTTTAATCCAGAGGGATCTTCTTTCACGCGGTTTTCATACCTTTGTGTGCAAAAGTACACCCTTACAATAAAAGATTGATTGATTGATATGTGGGGTTTAACGTCCAAAAACCACCATATGATTATGAGAGATGCCGTAGTGACTGGCTCCGGAAATTTTTATCATTTAGGGTTCTTTAACGTGCACCCAAATCTGAGCACATGGGCCTACAACATTTCCGCCTCCATGAGAAATGCAGCCGCCACAGCCGCGATTCCATTCCGCGACCTGCTGCGGGTCAACAGCCGAGCACCTTAGCCACCAGACCAACGCGGCGGTGCCCATGCAATAAAAGTGTCAGAAGCTTTTTTCTGATGACGTTTTTTTTTGTTAAAAGCAAGAGCTAGCCAAATTAATTTTTAAGCTTTTTATGTCTGCACTAAGTCTTTTTAAAAATAATCAGCACGTTAGCCTCTGAAGTTTGTTCCAGTCAAGTGCCGCACAACATCGCTACCGCAGCTGATCCTGAGGCCATGCGTTGATCATCATTTTCAGCATGCACATCCTAGCTCACTGCTTGGCCGGTCCGAACCTTCTTTGTCCTTTCCATTGTCCGCTAGCACCTGAGCACGTGCGGCCAGCTAATCAGCTGTTTGGCTGGGAAGTATACTTGGCTAGTTAGGCCACCTTATGTTCTGACCAAAGTAATTAGGCCTCGCCGTAGTAAGACCGGAGTAGTTACACCACGTCCTAATAATACCGTGGTAATCGGGCCATGTAAAGCTAGATTCATGCTCACTAAAGCACGCTAGCTGACGCGCTATATAAACCATGCTTGCGGTGTTAACTATGAGCACACTAAGTAAAACCATGCTAACTAGACCCTAATATTATGATGACAATTGGTATGGTGGTAATAACAATTCACTTAAAAACTTTACACTAATGGTGGCTTTGCTGATTGTGCCCAAGAAAATTATTGCTGCCTTAATTGAAATTTTATACCCTAAGACAAAACTTTTCAGTCTTATTTCATTTATTTCGTAGATAATTTCTATAATCAAATATAAAACAGAGCTGTGACGGCCTTCTCTTCGAAGCAGACTAAGCAGATGTGTAGACGACTAAGTGGAAAAAAGCTGGAGGAATCTTTGTTATCACAAGCTGGTCAGTTTTAAGGAAGTAAAAGATGACCAAAATATTTTATAGGCGCAGAAGCAACTGCTTAGCATCCACCACGTAAATGCTTGACATTCAAGCAGGCAGCATGACAGTCACAAGTCGAACTGGGACCTTGTCAGAATTGACGAGTTTTTGTCAGAGTTCACGCATCGATCCTTTTGATTGACAGATGCCCACGTGGAGGATTGGGTCCAACCACCACTTTTGCTTTTGCCGAAGAGGTGTACTGACGTCGCCACCCCAGCGAGTAGCACAATTCATCTATCAGCTTTATCGCGCAGACTCAGCACACACACACAGACA